TTCAAGGGTAACTCAGGAAGGTTCTGATCACATTTAGTGTGCAAGCCCAAGAAAGTCTTTCCATGGCAATTTTTCAGTTGTTCTTACTTACTTGTATTCTTAGTTGTGTTTCTGAGCTGATACCACCCAGCTTTTTCCCGGGCTCTTTCTCAGACATGCAGAAAGTACATGTCTTTTGTATGTCTATGCTTCTTACAAGACATCAGAAAACATGCCTCGTTCTCCTGATGTCTGTGTGCCAACACAGTAGTCCTTGAAGAATATCATCGTTCCTCCCATTCAGTAAATGGGCAAAATGTATTGTTTGAAAGGCAGTAAGTTCCAGAAGGTACCAAAATGGCCTTCAACATCTAGTTTAGAAGTTAATGTGATATTTTTGTAGTTGCTACATTCTTTACTAGTCAAGGTATAACTGCAGTTAATTACAACATTACAGTACTTTGTTATTTAACAGGGATGCACTATGTACACGTCCCTAGGTTGCGTTAAGCCCAGTCCCTTTTTCTTTACCATCTATGTCAAGACTGTGTAGGCTGTCCTTAACAGAAATTTGTGTATGTGTGGCTCTCTGATTGTGCTGTTGTGGAGTCTTTAATCTGTCTTTGGAGACAGTAGACTGAGAGTTCCTTCTTGGTCAAAGTAGTGGTTCAGACAACTGAAATATGTAATCAGTGTCATCAGGTGGGTTGCAAATGTGAGTAGCTACTGGAGGGACAGAGGAGCACAAATCCATGGTACAGTTTATGTCTTACAGAAGGAGGCTCAGCGTCAGGAGCAGTAAACCTGCAATACATAGGCCTAGTTTGGACTGTGAATAAAAGAAAGCTGCCATTTGCTCCATGACTTAGCAAGTACTTGCATAGATAAATATTTCTGTTAGAAAGATTAATAGAAAAGGATTGATAAATAAAAAACCCTAGTGTCTGACTTTTAAGTAGAGGATAGGCAAGGCAAAGGAGCAGAGCTCACGTTGAATATTTGCCTGAGAACCTCCTTGCCTTTAAATGCTTGATGAATTTGTGGTGGTGCCTTTTGCTTCCTTGGGCCTCTGTTAATGTTCTTCATGAATTCATATTCAGTGAAACCTAACCCAAAGAAAATACTGGACTCTTACAAATGAGGAAACTCAAACTCAGTTTACACATTCACTCTTGCAGTATGCACAGACCTTCTGCAAGTAACGTGACTGTCAAATGCTACCAATTGAAAACTTCAAGAACTAGTGGTTTAGGATTCTTTTCCACACAATTTTGACACATAACCTCCTCATGACATTGTTTCAGTCTAAATATATTCTAAAATCTTATCTAAAACTCTCAAATCTTAATAAAGATGTTGAGCTTTCACAGAAAGAAAACACATTCAGCACATTCCTCAGATACTTTGTCTGCAATATTTGAAGTGTTTTTCAAACCGCATGTGAGCCCTGACATTAATTTAATGGAAAATTTGTTTTTTGCATCATACGTGGTCTTAGTAATATAAGAACAGAAGTGACATTATTTGTCAGAATTAGGTCCTTTTGGTCCACTTTATTCATTTCTAGCTCACTATTAATTATAGTCAGAGAACACTTACTAATATCTTTTAAAATTACATATTTGTTGCATAATAGAAGCTGGCCTAATAATTTCTTCCAGTTAAAGATGCTACCTTGGTGAAACACAAGTGCTTAGACTAGGAAATACTCTGCTACACTCAGAGAGGGGCTCCTGTAACAAAGTTTGGATGGGAAATTACTTCAGATAATGTTAAGGCTTGGTTTCTTTATAAAAGAAGCAGCCAGCCATAACAAATTATTTTCAAGTTCAATTGTTTTTGTATATACAATTGCAAGAAGAAACAGAACGTTCTTTGTGTGTTTTTCCATTTATGTTTAGCATCATAGGTTTACCAAATTTGGCATTAAAGAACTACTTTTAGCAATTTTTATGATCTGTTCTTGAATTAGACACTTCTTATATACATTGTAGTGTGTCTGGCTTTAAACAAGCTTTTAATCTTCTTTATGGTGTTTTTGAAGTACACTCCACTTAGGTGACAGTAGAATAAAAGCATTTTGTGTGTGTATTTGGCTAAACTTGCATTATTGCAGTTGTGCACTAGTTATTTTCTAGCCTTTTCTTTAGCTGTAGCAGCATACTCATCCACACATCTATCTAATGTTGCTCAGCAGAGTCAACTAAATAGGAATGCATAGAGCTGAAACAGATAAACTCCTTCTAACAAGGTTACTTTCTTCTTGGTAAAGCAGTAATATATCTTTGAGGAATTTGACTACCAAACTAACATCCTTCACTCATCTGGTACTTAGGAAGGGTGATAAGTGCTCTCTGTCATTTCAGGGGGAAACTCACGTTTCCTTACTTTCTGCCTTGACTCTCAAGATTTCCTAGGCTTTTAAATCACGAGCCCATCTGATTTTTTGTCCTCAAGTGAAAGGACCTTTCTGTCTGGAGAGACAGGAGTGAATGTGAAAGCTGCAGGATGCTATTAAAATCAGCTATAGTTGTGATTTGTGCTTGTGAAGTGTTGGGAGAGTTCAGATGCTGCCTGTCTCCGGGATGATTCAAGTTCTTCATAGCTACTGGATTTTGGAAACTTTGCAGTCATATTAATCAAAGTCCCCACTAATTTTCTCTCTTTTTTGTGAGGCAGTATCGTGAAGAATCAAGGTACAGTATTAAATGCTCACATCTTCAGTTATTTGAAAGGCAGTATAGAAGAATGTGATTTTTTTCCAAGTGCCTATTTGCCAATTGCCCAAAATAGACATGGAGTAGAACGCAGCATTAGGTAGCTGTCTTCCATGTAATTCCCTCTCTGTAAAACAAAGCCTGATGAGTCTGTTTCACTGAACAGTTTCCCGTGTTCAGCTCAATACTAGGTATTCTGTTCTATAGGAATTGGGGGGTAGAGGGATGGAATACAACTTCAGTCCGTTCCTAACCGCTGGCAGGCAGTCTCCTCATCAGGAGAGGTGATGAAGGTATTTGCTTCCATATTTGCTTAATATGAAGCAAATTTGGGGTAGAAGTTTTTCAGATTAGCTCTAAAATTTTGCTGTACCCATTCCTGAACATTCAACCTGCTGCTCTTTTCTGGGTATAAGTCCAATTTTTCAAATTTCATGAAGTTTGGTGACCAAAATTGAAGTCTGCAGTATCACTAGTTACTACTAACTTTCTTGCCCATTTACTGCACCAGAGTTTCTCTAGATTGGCCTCACTGGCTTTATTCATGCACTGTATCTAGTGGACATTTAATGGAAAATGCAGAAATAATCCATGGTAGTAGGAAATAAGACCAGGACATTTTACTATGAGGGTGATGAGACACTGGAACAGGTTGACCAGAGAAGCTGTGGCTGCCCCATCCCTGGCAGTGTTTAAAGCCAGGTTGGACACAGGGGCTTTGAGCAACTTGGTCTAGTAGAAGGTGTCCCTGCCCATGGCAGGGGCTTTGGAACTGGATGATTTTTAAGGTACCTTCCAGCCTAAACCAGTCTATTATTCTGTTCTGCAACACCTTTCTTTCCAAACCTCCAACCCCTCCACCTGCAAAAGCTGTTTGCTAGGAAGCTGCAGCTCATCTGGGTTGACGTGCTCTATTGCCAGTGCAATTAACTACCAAGTTTCTCCATATACAAGGTTCACCAGGAAGGAATGGAGGGTGTCCAACTGTCATGTGGCACAGTGGTTAGAGCATTATCCTGAAAGGTGGGAACAGAACGTTTGTAGTTTATAACCTAAGACCCTCCTGAGTGCTTTTAAAAAGGAATGCTAAGCAAGGGAGGCTCTGTTCATGTCCCGCTCTTTGTAAAATTCATTTATTCTCAGAGTTTTCACTCAACATAGGAACACGCGCGTATAAATTAGTGCCTTTCCTCTGAACTCTGATAATAGCTTTGAGCAGTGTGAAGCTATTATTCGTTAAATGAAATCTTCCACAACAAATGTATTTTAAGGGTTTATAAATCCTCTGGATTAAAGAAAAGATTATTATTATTGTTCAGACCTTTGAAATACTAGAAAACCACCAGGCAGTTCTGTATATTAGATATCTTCAGCTATGAGGTATATCAGGATGGACAGAGCAGTGAAGTTGTGCAAGTGAAGACTGAGGAATTTGAACAGCGTGCCGTGCGTGGGCAGCTCCTATTACCCTCTTCCTCAGTTAAGCCTGGTTCTGTCTAGTGTTGTCAGTATCCTTCAAATATAAGAATTCAGCAGGTTTTCCTATGTGTTTTTGTTATTGTTATTTTTCCGGAAAAAGAAAATAAGAGCTAAGTTAAGTTCCAACAAGCTACAGAAAATATTATGCAACCCAGTGAAACCCGAGTCACTTGTAATAAATTTTGTCATGATTTTAAAAGCAGCAATGTAGTCTTGGCTTGCCCACCAGCATGTTGCAATTGTTGGAAGCTGGGGTGTTACGAATCTTCAGAAGTATGTCTGTGAAGTCCAGTAGACATAAATAGAGTACAGTATGATCTCATATCATGCAAGCAAACTTTCAATTCTGATTCTTCTCTCAGAAGTCCTTAAACGAAAATTGGAGAGTGAGAGAAAAGGAATGGAGTCTATTCCCTACA